TTTTTTTTTTTTTTTTTGGAAGAATATGTTTTACTTGAGATTTGGAGAGAGATGTGGAGATTTTTCACACATCCCGAAAATCATGTAGGAGTTCTTTGAGGTTATTTCTTTCTTTTTTTAATTGCCACTAATATCGGAATTGATATGTAATTAAGTGCACTTAATGGTTAATTTGGCCATCTTAAGTGCACTAAATCTCCTTTTAATTATTGAATAACGTTTTTCTGACTAAACTTTTGTGTGCTCGTATTTGTGTTATTATTTACTTAAGGGGATGTAAATTGTGTAAATTTCTCATCTTATTTTTTACTTGAAAACCACGTTATTTGGATCTTCCGGCCCATATTATTCATTCTAATTGTATTGGGTCAATTGGGCTATTTTTTATGGTCCATTGGAGAATGGACTCGATAGTCTAGATCACGGGTACCTTTGCATCACAAAACACAAGCTTATTACAAGAACCAAATCTCTGAGAAGAAATAAATTAAGGCACAGTTGTTAAGGATTTTGCACAAAAAAATATATACACTACTAATGCAATACACACAATTAAAACAGAAAAAAAAGGAGATAATTGAGTAAATTATTCCTTTTATAACATAATGTGCATGTCAAGCAACAACAAGACTCAATGGTTCATAAATTTTGGCATACTCCCCATGTGGGAGTTTATTCTTTTAAGGTTCCAAAAATGGAGAACACAAAGAAACATGCATTAAAAAAGAAAATCATAAAATTAAAATCAAAGAGGCTCAATAAATCAAGAGGATAAAGTCAACAGGACACTTAAAATAGAATTAATTAAAACAATTAATTAAACTCCATTATCATTAATCATGTTATCTAATTACCACATGATGATCAAAACAGAAGCTTTTTCTTGTTTCTTTCTTTTTGTCCTAATAATAACTCAAGTCCAAAGGGAGTACTCTCTCTTGAGAGGGTCCTGCATTACGACATTATTAGCCGAAGAAGTTGAAGCGAAGCTAAGATAGTGCTGAAGGCTGTTGATGTCGCTAAAGCCACTGTTAGCGGACGAGAAGAGGGCTTTCTCGTAATTTTCGTCCGGATGGTCGAGGGGCGAGGGTGCAGGCGGGTCGTGCTGCATCTGGATGCAGAGGATCTCAGCCTGAGCCACGGCCAGCTGCATCTGTAGCTGAGAGACTTGGTTTTGCAGGTAAGATATGGTCCCTACACAGCCGTAAACCGGGTCCCGCATTCTAGCGTTGGCCTCGTATACCAAACTGCTAACCGCATCTCCTCTTTGGTGTACCGGGAGTTCCTGGTATAGAAAACATAA